TTTATAGTGCAAAAAAAAGTTGTAATAATAAAATAATGTGCAAATTAGAATCATGTAATGCTATAGCTGTGCTTGAACTATTTTTCATTCTTTTCTGCAAATTCTACATTTCTATATTTTATGTTAACCCTTAAAGTTTTTTGTGGCAAAGCCTTTGTGCACTTATAGATTGAATGCCCATCATCCCCTTAAGGTATTCATGTACTCATCTGACAGCTGCCTGACATAATCAGTAGAATTGCTCCCAGCATCACCAACATTAATTCTTCTGCCCCTGCTAAAATTCCTGGTACTCTAGAACTCTTTGTGTTTCAGTGTTGATTGATGTATTTCATTTCAGCAGGTAACACGACGCACAAACAAACCTATGAGGGTGCCTCAGGAAAGGTAAAATACAGTTAATCTAACAATAACACTGAGCAAAACCACAGCAAGAAAGACTCTAACCTAATGCAAAATATCCACATTTCAGTACAAACAGAAACAATGCTGAAAGATCATTTTGAATCTTGCTGCTATATCCTGTCTCTGAGGATGATGACCTTGAATTTATAAATTCTGTTCTTTATGTAATATACGTAATGTGATTAGCACTTATCTGCAATGAGAGCTCTACTTCAGAACAGACTGTGGGATGGGACATGCTATTAGATCTTCTAAATCTAATTTATTTCTCCAAGTTTATTCAGTGATACAAATTGGAAACTTCTGATTTAATTTAGGAGTAATTGGAAATCTAAAATATTATAAATATGATAAGGTCAATAAGACGCCATGTGTACCTCACTATGTAATACTTCATTTTATCATTATCTTTTCTATATCCACTCTAAGTAATACACCCCTGAGGTCTTTGGCTTCACATTTTTATTGAAGGCATGACCGTAATCTGGGCTTTTATACTGTAGGTTGTGTATCTTCGAAAAAAAATTATGCTATTACATTGTTTTTTAATGTGAGGGTGGCTGGTATTTTCAGAGGCAGCTGTTATTAGTGAAAGGCTACAAAAACTTAGCAATAAGGTTAAAACCTGGTGGTAATTTTTTTTTAGCCGTTAGAAGCTACCAACTGTCAATAATAGTGACCGTTTATGGCAGCTATTTACTGACCGTGTTGTACACAAAACCTTGGTTTATTTATTTTTGAAAGCTACAACAAATCTATGTCTAATTCTCTCATTTAGAAGTACGTCAAGGCCTCAATTAAATTCCAGCCGATCATGTTTATTGGCAGTTTATCAGCTCCTGAGAAGCCATTTAATAATAGCCGTTACAGGCTTATTAGGAGCAATTTTGGCTTCTACAACTGCTCCGAGCTCGTCTTGCTACAGTCTTTTTTGAATACTGCATCAATGTTCATCAAGTTGTCCTCCTGCAACTCCCATGACTCCCTGCTCTGTTAGTCCATGCATTGGCATCCTGTAAGATATAGGGCTCAAATTAAAATTATGGTCCTCATTTACAAATCTCTTCATAACACTGCTCCTGTCTATGGGGGACATCAAGATCCCTACGCTCTGCTAAAGATTTGCGTCTATCCTCTTTTCATACTTACACCTCTGGCACCCACGTTCAAGATTTCTCAAGGACTGCACTGTTCTTATGGAGTGCCCCCCCTCTTGTGTAGACTCTCACCCACTCTCCATTTCTTCTAAAAATCACAGAAAATTTACTTCTTCAAGAAGGCATATCAATTAAATTGTTACCAGCTTTCCCTCCCCATGCCTCATCAACCTACCTTCTCCTGCAATTGCATTATCTGAAAATGTAAGCTTTCATTGTAAACTCTTTTAGGAAATTATTTTCAATTACATGAAATACATCTTACCCTTACCTCTTAGAATGTAAGTTAGTTTGAGCAGGATTCTCAGCACTTTCTGTTCCTGTGCATCCAAATTGGCAACTACTTGTTTGTTAGTTCACCTACTGCATAGCACGGCAGAGTTTGTTGATGCATTAGAAATAAAATAAAATTAATGAATGCTTATTATCTTTCCACTGGCAGCATTAGCCCATGACCTCCACATTAATATAAGGGAGATTTTGAATCTCCTTTATGCCCCACTCGCCATGCTGAATTGCTTATACTTACCATCAGAGGCCTTTTCTCTTCTTAAATATTCTATTCTTCAGCCCCAAAAGAACCCCCCACCCAAAAAAAAATGTAAGCCCCAACACTGTTTTCATCAAATGTAGATTTAAAAAAAAACAAAGAAAACAAAAAAAAACACATTAGAAACAAAACAATTTTTTTTTTACAGAAGGCTTTACGTAAAAAGAACTTAAAAAGAACTTGCATGGAAGGAAGAGTCCTTATAAGGACTTTCACACAATAGAAGTGAGACATGCTAGTCAGAGCGCTCTGATCGATGGGCTTACTGTCCAACGAATCACAGCATTCTGCCTAAGATTACATTGATGGGTAGTGGCCAAAATTGGAGCGGCGGACAATGGTATGTCTGCCCCTTTTCATTATAATGGACGGAAATTGGGAGGAAATTAGGTACCCTTCAGTTATAATTATATTAATAGCCCTCACCCACCAGTAATGCGTGGGACTAATGACGATATAACCCCCCCCCAATTATATTATTTTTAATACATGAGTATTCATATACCCACCCACCTTATTTGCGTGAGGACAGGGTTGGATTGTAATCTGTATTATTTTTTTAACCTCCACTAGATGCCCAAGGGTGTGGGAATGGGGGAGCTGTGCAAAGTCCCCCCCTGAATTTTACAAGCAACTTACAGCAATAGCTACCCAGTTGCTAGTCCATTATTACAGTGAGTAGGATCTGCCTGCTCACCATGGATGACTCCGGGTGGGGGTTAGTCTCTGGATAGAGCTCTAGGTGTGCTCCTCAGAAACCCCAGGTGTGAACTGGCTACTGCCCCGTTGTTAGCCACAAGTCGCTTTTGCACAGCCAGCGGGAGTATGTTACTGAAGGTCTGGCACTCTGCAGTGGTGTGCCAGAACTTCAGTGATTACAGATTTCAATCTGTTATGCTGCCTGTATTGAGGTCCTCTCACACATGCTGTATGGCAGAAGCAGTGACAAAGCTGTTCTCACTTCTCCTGTGTAGATCAGACCACAGGAAGCCCCAGCTGATGCAGGCTTGGATGATATGATATTGTATCCGTTCATCCTCCATCAACCAGGGCTTAACAGCAGCAGTGGCAACAGCATGAGGTGAGAGAACGGCCCAACACTGCTTTCACATATGACACCACTACTGCACCAGGGAAATGAGAAGAGGAGGAAAAGCAATGAAAAGCAGAGCTAGATTAGCTGGCACATTTATCAGCTTTTTTTCATGAGTAGTCATCTCATTTATCAGATTCAGTTTCTTTAATTCTGGCAAGCCTAAATCAGAAAAAAAAATAGACCAAAAAAGTCGATGTTGATCATTAATTTTCAGTCCATAGCATTAAACCGAGGCCTTTATGTGTAATAAAGATAACATGATAATAACCTGATGATTATAGTACTTAAATATATATTTTGAGAAATAATAAAATGAAATACCTGACAAGCGATATTTTCTTCTATACTACGCATATATAAGAAAATGTGTGTGTGTGTGTGTGTGTGTGTGTGTATGTATGTATGTATGTATGTGTATATATATATATATATAAAACAGGGCATGTAAACCAGACAAGTTGTATATTTCCATTGACAATAATAGATAAACTTAAAACTCTAGACCCAAATGTGGCTTAAAGAGATGCATGTGGTTTCCAGCCTCTGGGACTTGGATAGCTTGGAGGGATTGGACTCATTTTCCAAAATGCTTTGGTGTGCATAATCAAATTCAGGAAGGAGAAGGAAATAATATAATTATGTGCATTTATCAGCATTAAATATTACTTGTTTTGTCATAAATGCATGTTCTTCAACCACGTGATTTTGTATCCTTCTTGCTAAATGTGCTTAATTGATAGGCACAATTTATTTTTTCCCATTCACAGGTCTAGATAGCTTAATTTGAAATAGATGGACTGACTACACAATTTATGTAAACAGCAGGATGAAATTCATAACATTGATTTGTAGTGGTAGGTATCTGATCTGTGATTGGACACAATAAGATTTTTAGTAAATTACAGACAAAGGGGATTGGATTGTATCTATACAATATTTAACCTCTCAGTGACCAAACCATTTTTCAATTTTCTTACCATTAAGGACCAGGGCTCTTTTTACATTTCTGCAGTGTTTGTGTTTAGCTGTAATTTTCCTCTTACTCATTTACTGTATCCACACATATTATATACAGTTATTTTTGCCTTTAAATGGTCTGCTAAAAAATTATAAAATATGATGATATTTGTTTAAAAAACACACCTTTT